AGTGGTAGAGTCTCAGCTTGAACAGAAAAGCTCAAGGACAGTGCCCAGGCCCTGAGTTCAAGCCCCAGGGCACACTGGAGAGCGAGGGCGGAAACCTCAGGCCCCACTCCCACTTTCTCTCCACTTAAACCAGTGGAGCGGGTTTGTGTGTTCAGTTACCATCCCTGATGGGTGCCCTGTGCATTTAGCAATGGGTAAAGGCTTCATTATGAAGACTAATTCTGCAAACCACACGCCAAAATCAATGTCATGATGTGTGGTCCAGCCTGGCTGAGTTCTGTGAGCCAATGAGGAGGTTTACAAACTCACACGACCAGAATAAATTCAATCTTGCTGTTGGGTGGGGGTAGGGGGGTTAAGAATATGAAGATCTACCTTAGGAGCAGTTTTGCTCCAGGTGTGTGTGTGTGTGTGTGTGTGTGTGTGTGTATGTGTGTCAATTTGGGTTTGATCGGTGGTTCAGTTAAAAATAAGAAATGAGCATTTGGTTCCAGTTGGGATTTTATATAGGTTCCTGCCAAGGTTATTATGACAAAGAACAGAGAAAGGTCGGCCTCGTGGAGATAAATAATCGCACTGATTTTCCACCTGGTATCCCACGACACTACCGATAACTAAAGACCGCACAGCTCATTTCCATTCTCCTCACCTCTCAGCTCTGCTGGAATCTCCTCGCTGTCCGCAGTCTGTCTCTAGCCAGTGACTCTGAGGCTGTCTCCTTGAGCTCTTGAGCCCTGAGCTGGGGCAGGGGGCGGGGGGCGGGGAGGAGAGAGGGTAAGAGGGGTTCCTGCCTTCACAGGACCCCTGGGGAGCGTTTGCGGGTGGGGGGGGGTGGCTCTGAGCAGGGCTTGGTGCTCAGCGAGGTTTGTGGGTGCTCAGAACCAAGTGCCATACTTTGTCCCTTTTTTACCTCCATCAGGGGCGGGTGACACATTGTGTGGACACTGCATGCTGTTTGCTAGGAGAGCCAGAACATTGTTCTAATACTCTTCCCGGTTCCCAGTACAGTGCCTGGCCTCAGAGATTAAATGAACTTTGCAGATGGTGAGGTGATAAATAAGTACATTTTCCATTTCTCCAGGGCTCTCAGGGGATGCCAAGCAAAGGAGCCCATGGAATTGATGGGAGAAAGCCATTCCTCCACTTCCTTTTATATTTTTCCAATCCTGGGGCTTGAACTCAGGGCCTGGGCATTGTCCCTGAGCCTCTTTGTGCTCAAGGCAAGCACTCTACCACTTGGGCCACAGCACCACTTCTGGCTTTTTCTGAGTAGTTTATTGGAGATAAGGGTCTCATGGACTTTCCTGCCCAGGCTGGCTTTGAACCACAATCCTCAGATCTCAGCTAAGATGAAAGTAGCTAGGATGACAGATGTGAGCCACGGATACCCTGCAACTTCTGACATTTCAACCTCTTCTTGCCTGGCTTATTTCTTGGAGTTTGTTCCAGAACAGCCCCAGTGCAGAGCGCCACCTGGCCAGAGGTGAGCGGAAGCCACAACAATGGTGCAGGCCTCAAGGCCCCAGGCCCGCATACAGCCAAGAAAGGAGGATTGCCAGAGCCCAGAAGCTCAAAGACAGGACCCGCCCACGACCAGCCACACTAGGAGTGGGGTCTAAGATCCGAGAAGAACACTGTCAAGAAGGTTCTTGTCACTGCCTATAGACATGCTGCCTTTTTTAGAAAACATGGGCTCTTCCTCACAGGGAAAGCACTGGGGTTGGTGCAGTTGGGGCCTAAAATATTTTAAGCTAAAGGAGTTTGGCATAAAACCCAGCAGATGCGAGTGAGGTCGCTGACCTTCCCCTGTCCCCGAGATTGACTCCGAGAGCCGTGCTTGAGAGGAGACACACAGGCCGGGGGAGGAGAGGAGCCGCCCATCCGCTGCAATCTGTCCTGAGAAGAATATTATACACCCAGCACCATGGTGGTAGTGAGGACGGGGCACAGCATGCATAGAACAAGCAAGCCTCACAGAGCTCCCCGGCAGTCTGTAAATCAGAGCCTCCTCCATTTTTCTATGTTTCTATTTTATTTGTTGCCAGTACTGGGGTTTGAACTCAAATCCTCACGCTCGCTCTCGCAGCTCTCCATTTTGCTCAAGGCTAGTGTACACATGCACACGCGCGCACACACACACACACACACACACACACACATGCATGAACACAACTTTTTGTTGAAGCTGTATTCCTATTTTGATTCTTATTTCCTGGCAAAGGTCTCTTTGTGATTTACTGACTTAACCTTGGACTTTGCTGCATCACAAACGTGAGCAGATACTTTGTTACGGAAGCAGACCCAGGTGAGCACTTTCCTGGGAGCCATCTTCAAGCTTGAATTCACCCACAGAGGGAGAAGAGGAAGTGGAAACGAGTTCCGCCCCACCCCTTGGAGCTTATCTGGGGATCATACCAGTGCCACCCACACAACAGGGCCTCACCGGGCCGCTGGCAACTACTAATCTCCCCGAGCTTCCCGTTCAGAAAGCGGCCTTTCAGGGCTGCTTCTAGAGTCATCTTGTCTCTGGAGCCATTGAAGTTCCCATTCAGTCTTGCTTCCGTTCTGATACTGGGTCAGCCCCCACCCCACGCCCAGCCTCGGCTTGCCCACGGGCCCACCTTGTGTGTTTTCTTATGTTTCTGTCTTAATCTTCTTTTTGTTGTTTTGTCTTCTCTGGGCTTTAGCTTTTGTTTCTGTCAAGGTTTCAGAAATATGCAATGGAAAGAATGAAGTTGCGTGTCTGCTTCCTGCCACTGTATACCATAGAGATCGCAGATTGATTTCTATTCTGCAGGCTGGTGGTGGTGGTGGGAGGGAACAAAAGCGATGGGCTGGGTATCTGAGGAGGGAGTTCTTGCTATGATATCCCATGGCCAAAGATGAAGGGCGCGCGTGTGTGTGTGTGTGTGTGTGTGTGTGTGTGTGTGTGTGTGTGTGTGAGAGAGAGAGAGAGGGGGGGGGTGGAGACTACCAAGCTTTCTGCTATACCAGATCTGCTCTAGACGCAGCAAACTCGCTCAGCTCTTGGTGAGGCTGGTCTGTCCTGGAGTGCAGGGTCCCCACATGGCCTCATGACCTTGTGGCCTCTAAACAACCCACCTCACTGCACTAGTGCATTAAATAGTATTTGCGGGCTGGGAAGGTGGCTCAGTGGTTGAGAGCTTGCCTAGCACACATGAAGCCCTGGGTTCGACTCCTCAGTACCACATACACAGAAAAAGCCAGAAGTGGCACTGTGGCTCAAGGGGTAGAGTGCTAGCCTTGAGCAAAAGACGCTCAGGGGCAGTGTCCAGGCCCTGAGTTCAAGCCCCAGAACTGGCAATAGTTGTTGCAATCCATGAGCTTTAGGGTCACAAAACCCTAACAGCTTATTACCAGACACAACTGTGTCATGAATTGTAGCTCCCTGCTCCGCTTTTCCACATTTCCCATGCTCCAGAGAGAATTGCTTCCAACTCTTTAGTCTTTCCTTTGTTTCTGTTTCTGTGCCAGTCCTGGGGCTTGAACTGCCTGAGCTTTTTCACTGGAGGCTAGCCTAGCTCTGCCACTCAAGCCATAGCTCCACATCTGGCTTTTTTCATGGTTCATTGGAGAGAAGAGTCTCACAGTCTTTCCTGCCCAGGCTGGCCTCGAACCTCAGTCCTTAGATCTCAGCCTCTGAGCAGCCAGAATGACAGGCGTGAGCCGCTGGCACCAGCTTCCTCTACCTTTTGAGGACTGTCGGGGTTCACTGGTTTGCACCAGGGCTCAGCGCACTGCCCCTCCGCGGGGTTCCCCATCCTGGCGGTCAGGGTCCCGCCTGCCACCTACTTTTTCCAGCTCCCTGGAAGATACTCGTGTTGTTTCTTCCATTCTGTCTTCCCTGTGGGTTGCATCTCGTGCTTACTACGTTTAGTGGGGTTGTCATTGGGTTTAGGGGAGAGAAAAGCTGATATGTAGGTTTGGTTGCTGTGTCGTGAGCGTTGTAGCGTCCGCCTGCTGTCACCCCATCCTGAGGACGGCCCTGCGCAGCCGCTGTGGCCACCCAGGCCCATGTGGCCAGCCATCTCCATCCTGGCCCTCTAGGACGCACTGGCCATTTTCTTATTCCATGGGAGTGGAGTTCCCGGCCCTCAGCCTCCCCGATGACTGCCTCCAACCCGAGGACGAACACGAAGCCAGTGCCAGATCACTTACCACCAGAACCTGCCAGGCTCCAGCTCCGTGCCACCCTGTGTAAGCCAGTGAACAGCCTCAGGGGCCAGGTCCACGCAGGCTCCAGATGCCCAGAGTGGGACAGAGATAGCATGCCTCGTGCCTGATCTCCCAGATCCCCAGACCCCTTCACCTCCTCATGCCTCCCGCACAGAGCGCTCACCACATGACCCAGTATTAGGAAGTGACCCTGAGGAATCAGACTCAGAGCAAAGTCTCCATGGGGGTCACCAATGTGCTCGTTCATGATATAATAGATCGGTGGTGGCTTTTCCAGTGGCTACACCCCTTGTGTCTGTGACCCTGGAAGCTCCTTCCTCCTCCTCGGCTGTCAGGTGATGAGATGTGCCCCGGACACAGGATTTCAGGGTGCACACATGTAGCTTCACAGGTGTCGCCTCCATTTACTTGTAATTCAGTCATTCCCTGCGAGGTCTTTCCCACGTTTAACAAATGCCAAGGCTCACACCTATCATCTTAGCTCCTCAGATGGCTAAGATCTGAGGATAGTGGTTCAAAACCAGTCAGGACAGGAAAGTCCTGAGATGCTTACTTCTAATTAAGTAGCAGAAAGCTGGAAGTGGAGCTGCAGCTTGAGCAAAGAAGCCAAGAGGGAAAATGAGGCCCTGAGTTCTAGCCTTGCCACAAGTGTGCATGCGCACACATGCGCGCGCGCACACACACACACACACACACACACACACACACAAAACCTGAAGAAAACAATTCTATCTGGGCTGGGCAGGTGAGCCATCAAATAAATCAATATAAATCAATTTTACTCATATGACCCCATAGGGTTTTCCAACCCTGTGAGCCTGGTAGACAGTTTTTTCCAACACGCTTGGCTTTCTTGGAGATTTTCCGAGCCGGGACTAGTTCACTTGGCCACTACTTTTTATTTTTCTTAGGAGAATTCATTATCTCTAAAACTCCCAAGTGTGACCAGCCCTTGGTGATGAGCAACTTGACCACCAGCCCTCTGGTGCCCAGCCTCAGTTTCCCAGATGCTTCCCGTCACCATCGCCCTGGTGATCAGCCGTACAACAAATGCCCAGACTTGAAGCATGAAGCCGTCCCGCCCTCAGCCAGCACTACAGGAAGTCCTGACTGCACTGGGTGGTTTTGGTTTATCCCCCAACTTCCTGCCCGGGCTTTACAAGGTTTACCAACCCCCAAAAGCAAGGGGAGGAGGCGGTGGGGGCGGCCGACCCACCACTGCGGCTGGAGGGCCGGGACCTGCGGGCGGCCACTGCTCGTGGACTTCAGCAGCGCTGTCCCTCCTCTCCCACAGGGATCCGGACTCCATGAGGAGTCCAGGAAGGGAAGGCCCAGAGGTCAGGCATGTTCATGGAGGTCCGCCCTGCCCAGCTATGCCTCTAGGGCTGGGGGGGGGGGGCACATCTGCCTTGCCTGGGCACGGGGCTCCCTGTGTGGGCAGACTCGGGGCCAAGTCACCACAGAGGGTCAGGGACCTGTGTCCTCCCTGAAGCCCCTGCGGCCTGTGGGAGACATGGCCCCGAGGGGATGGGCCACCCAGCGTGGCATCCACTAAGGACCCAGACCCAGGAGGAAGGTGGTGCTCAGCTGCTCACCATGGACACGTGGGTTATACTTCACTGCTCCTCTCCTCCTGGGGTGCAGGCCGTGCGGACACTCAGATCTCACTCGTAGCTGCGTGTGAGGACTCTGTCCCGCACACCTCGCGCTGGTGGACGGGCAGGCCTAGCGAGGCCACACCGCCCGCGTCCTTCACGGGGACGAGGCGGCCGTGGCACCCTCTGCGGCCCGGCGTGGGGGTTCTGGTTGAACTCGAGGTCTGGGTGGAGGAGGGCCTCTCTGCCGGGGTGCCTGCATGCTCGACGGCGGAGGCCTCTTCTTTTGCGGGTGCTGGGTACGGACGTCAGGCAGCGGGGGCTGGGCACGAGGGGCCTGGCGCCGGGGTGCAGGGGGCAGAGGTGGGCCGGAAGCTTCCCGGGGAGGAGGGGAGGTGGAGGAGGTCGGGCGAGGCCCAGGGCCTCCCTCCCGGGACGTGGTCCTGTGCACAATCATCTCCAGCTGCTCCTCTGCAACAACAGAGCCTCAGGAGCTCATCTGGGTGGCACTGAGCACCTTTTCCACACAAGCTGACTCCGGGCCAGCAAGAGCCAGGTGGACGGATGGACGGAGGCCCAGGGTGGAGGGCCTCCCAAGCCCTAGTGCCCTCCCCATGACAGCCACCACAGGGGGGCTGCAAGGTCCCTGTCCCAGGAGTCCGAAGCTGCCCAGGGCCCCGTCCTGCTGTGGATGAACCCCCACTGCAGCAAGAGGTCTGAGCACCTTCGTCCTTGCTTCCTCCTCGGAAATCCATAAGCAAAACCCCACTGGGCCCAAGAACAGGAGAGGCGGCGCTCTCGCCTGCAGCACTGGCTGCTGCCGCAGCCCAGCCCACCAAGCCGGTCCAGCATCACAGCTGCCTAGAGTGCTGAGCCCGCATAGGACGCGGGAAGGTCGCGGTCACCACAGGCCGCTGAGCCCCTGCCCTCCTTCCAGTCCCCGCGTTCAAGGCTCGCCTGGCAAGTGGCTCTGGGAGCTGTGGCTGTTCTCGGGGAGAATGAACAGCCCCTCGAGTCTCCACAGAGACATCCCGCGCCCACCCCGCAGCTCCCCGCCTTCCCGCTCCTCTGCCCTCCCCCTTCAAGCCCCCACCCCCTAACCCTCCTTACCATTCCTCCTGCTCCTCCGCTTCCTCCTCTTGCTGACACAGAGGATCAGCAGCCCCACACAGATGGCCAGGACAAGGCCTCCCCCGCCGATGCCCCCCACGAGGCAGATGAACCGAGCTCTGTCTACAACAAGAAGAGATGTGGGGCTGGGGCCTCTCATTTCGAAGATGAGGCCTCATGGGGACACGTGCTCCACAGGAGGCAGAATCAGGAGGCTCGAGGTCTGAAGCCAGCCTGAGCAAACACACGAGACCCTACCCTGAAAAATAAATTGAAGCAAAAGGACTGGCTGGGAGTGCGGCTCAATTGGTAGAGCGCCCACCTGGCAAGGTGAGGCTGTGCGTTTGATGCCCAGCGCCAATGACAGCAACAACAACAAGGTCCAGAGGAGGCAGGAGAGCTTCCTGAGGGCACACCGCATCCCTGCCCACGTGTCCTTCCCTCCCTCAGTGCCTCATGTGTTGCTGTCCAGCCCACACCTGACCAGGCAGTTCCTTGGCAAACGCTTGTGCAGCACAGCCCTCTCCTCCCAGACTTCCCCTGCCCCACCAGGAACACTCCAGCGGGCACTGAACTAGCCACCAGGGCCTGGGCCTTCGGAGTCTAATTGGATAACCTTCACAGTCTGTGATTGGACGATCTTTTATACAGTCTCTCAGTTTAGATGACTTCACAGTCTCTCTCATTGGACAGTCTCTCTGATTGGATGAGAGCTGGACTCATTGACACGTCTAATGAATAGAGTGTAGCATGGGCGGGAAAGCCCTCCTGAGATTAAGCTGCAAAGGAAGTTGGCTCTGTCTGGATACCACTCCTGTCCTCCCTCAGGCTGCTCTGAGTGACGCTGGCTGCCATATTGTGAGGCAGCTCAACAGCCCCCATGAGTGAGCATGGAGGGGACCTCAGAGTGGCTCAGCACACACGCCACAAGCTGTGAGCTTAGAATCGCACAGAGAGGGACCAGAACCTGTCAGGGTCATTGGACTACATTGGCCAAGAGCTAAACTGGGAGCCAGGTCTCTGGCTCCCAGGCCTGTGCTCAACCACCACAGCAGGAGGCTTCTTAAAAGGTACTTTTGGAGGCCAGGCCTGGAGGTACACACCTGTGACCCCAGCACTCCAGAAGCTGATGTGGAAGAATTGTGAGTTCAAGGCCAACCTGGCAAGTCTGGGCACTAGGGGTCAGTTAGTTTCTGAACCTTCTGGATCTTCCCTCCCTGTGACTGGAAATGGGCACCAGCTTCTCTGGCCTCAGATTCGCAATGTAGGACTTTTCTGCTTTATTCCCAACACCAGACACTCTGGCTCCTTTATTTTTTATTTATTTATTTTTGGGGGGGGTCCATTCCTGGGGCCTGAACTCTGGGCCTGGGCGCTGTCCCTCAGCTCTTCAGCTCAAGGCTAGCGCTCTACCACTTGAGCCACAGCGCCACTTCCGGCTTTTTTCTTTTTGCTCACGTGGTGCTGAGGAATCGAACCCAGGGCCTCAGGCATGCAAGGCAAGTGCTCTACCACTGAGCCACCTTCCCAGCCCACTCTGGCTCCTTTAAAAGTCATCTCTTTTCTTTACTTTTTGTTTTAACAGCGCTGGGCTTTGCACTCAGGGCTTTGCACTGGCTAAGCAAGTGTTGTACATACTGCTGAGCCACGCCTTCAGTCCTTTTTGTAATGATTGTTCTGAGATAAGGTTTCCCTTGTTTCCCCTGGGCATGTCTGGACTTTGAGCCTCCTATTTAATTCTTTCTGTCAAAGAGAGATTAAGGCACCTGCCCCCACTCCACTCCAAAGTCTCAAGGACTCTGCTGCCCAGGCTGGCCTAGAACTCTGATCCACCCAATCTCAGCTCCCACTTAGCTGGAATGACGTGTGTGTCACCACACCCAACTACAGATTGAGATGGGGGGGGGGTCTCTTGAACTTTTTTCCCAGGATGTCCTCGAGCCATGATCCTCCCAAACTCAGTCTCCTGAGTATCTGGGATTATAGGGATGCTCTCCAAAAGACATCTTTACGGGAGAAGTCAGATTCATGGGCAGTAACCGCACAGGAACCCTGGGTAAGTTGGTTTGTTGGTCTGGGAGGTGGGGGTTAGACTGAGATGACCCTTCTCACCCACCAATTCTGCAGTTTTGTCCCCTAGAAGACGCTTTTCCCACCTGCGTGAGGCCAAATCCCGGACTTCCGCAGAGGGTGCCCAGGCAGGAGACCGGGGAAGGGCACTTCCGTGTAGGTGTGGTCTGTGGAAGGAAGAGGTGCATTTCCTCTTTCCATCCTCCCAGCCCTGGCCCTGTTCCGGCCTCTCTGGGGACACTAGCTATGGAGGACACGTAATTCTGGACACGCTAGCCAAGGCTCACCTGTGGCTGGGCAGCGGACCGTGGCCTCCATGGCCTCCTCGCTGACGCTGTTGCGTGCTGTGCACTTGAACGGCGCATCCAGGTTGGCCCAGGTGTACTGGATGAGCGCCTGGGTGTCTGTGTAGTAACATTTCTGCTTTTGACACAGCTTTAACTGGGCGTCGGTCCCTCTCAGTAACTCACAGGTCAGCGTGGCGTTGCTGCAGTCCCAGGAGATCGTGGGCTTGGAGACCTTCTCTAAAAGAAAATAAACCTCCAGTTCCTAGTAGGCAATTTCCTTTTTTTTGGATAGTTCTGTGGTTTGAACACAGGGCAGGGTACGTGCTAGGCAAGTGCTCTAGCACTTAAGCCATACCTCCAGTCTGCTCTGCACTGGTTATATTATCTCACTCTTTTTCTGAACAAGCCTGTTCAGTCCTCCTGTTTATACTCCCTGCCAATGCTGGGTTGATGGGATGGCAGGTGTGGGCCACCATGTCCACCTTTCTCTGTTGAGATGGGTCTCAAGAGTTTGTTTTTCCACCAGGTGCCAGTGGCTCACGCCTGTCATCCTAGCTACTCAGGAGGCTAAAATCTGAGGATCATGGTTCAAAGCCAGCCCGGGCAGGAAAGTTCTTGAGACTCTTATCTCCAATTGACCACCAGAAAACCGGAAGTGGCGCTGTCGCTCTAGCGGTAGAGCACTTGCCTTGAGCTGAAGAGCTGAAGGACAGCGCCCAGGCCCAGAGTTAAAGCCCTATGACCAACCAAAAAAAAGAAATGTTTTTCCTAGGTTGACCTTGAACTTTGACCCTTCAGATTAGCTAGGATTATAGACTAGAGCCACAGGCACATGGCTACCTCCCTTTTTAAAAATTAAGGTCTCACTATGTAGCCGAGGCTGGCCTTGGACTCACAGTCCTCCTGCAGTAAACCTCCAAGCTACTCAAACGACAGCACATCCTCATGTGTGCTGGCATTTTTTTTTTTTTACTTTAATGTATTTGCCTATTTAGATTAGAAAACTGTGCTCTTTCAGACCAGGGAACAAATTCAAAGACCCCCTAGCAACTTTGAAAATCATTCTTCTTTTATTTATTTGAATAGGCTGGTAAAGTCGTCTCTGTAAAAAATACTATATCTAATGCTTATACATTGTTGTATGGCTTCGAATATTTCCACATATGTGATATTATTTAATTCTAACAGAAGGCTGTATTTTTTTTCTTCCTATTTGTTTGTTTGCCCTGATACTGGACCTTATTCTCAGGGCCTGGGTGCTGTCCCATATTTTTCTTGCTCAAGGCTCAAGCTCTATCACTTGAGCCACATTGCTACTTCTAGCTTTTTGCTGGTTCATCAGAGATAAGAGTTTCATGGCCTTTCCTGCCCAGGCTGGCTCTGAACTGTGATCCTCAGATCTCAGCCTCCTGAGTAGCTGGGCTTATAGGCATGAGACTCCATGCCTAGCTGCATTCCTGATGCAGGTAATAAGGTTCTAACTGGTAGTACAGCCAACAGTGACCCAAACCTTAGTGGCCAGCCCCAGCTGTGAGAAGGGAAGGGCCCAGAAACAAGGGTGGGGGTGTGTGCTATCATCTCTCAGCAATCAGGGACCTGCCAGAGACACTCGCCTGCCTCCTCCCCCTTACGGGTGGAGCCGCCCCTACAAAGTCCACAATCCAGAATGCTCCCAAGTCCGAACCGTGTGAACATTGACATGACGCCTGGAGTGGAAAATCCCACACTATGAGACTTCGTTTCACACACAAAAGGATCAACAAAATTGCTCAGAGTTACTTTGGGGCCATGTATGTAGAGATGTATGACGCATAAATGCAGTTCATGCTAAGGTCCCCAAATCTAAAAACCAAGCCCAAAACACGTACACACAGTGAAGTCGCAAGCCCTTCAGATAAAGGGGTAGCTAACCCACACTGGGAACCTCAGACTCAGTGCAGGCAGGAAATTCATCAGGGCTGGGTGAGCAATGGGTTCAGCGTTACAAATTGTGTTCGTGGTGCCAGGGCTCAACCTAGACCAAAAGAATGCAAGATATGCACTATGAAATAATATGGTAAAAAAAAAAAAACCCTTGCACTAATTAAAACATTAAATCTTTGAAAAAGAAGCCAGAAGGAACATGCAGAAGGACTCGCCCAGGCCCTGAGTTCAAGCCCCAGTACGGGCACCAGAAACAACATGTATGTAAGTGAAAGCCCCTGGCAATGGCTGCCGTTCCCACCCCGAGTGAAACGTAATACGCAGGTGAAGATGTCCCCAGTCCCCAGTCCCCAGGGACTCCAACCCACTCTAGAGCCATACGGTTGCCCCTTCCAGGATTGCATAAGCCATGGCCCTTTCTGGAAGGTTCTCTCCAGTCAGAGATGCAGGTCTAGGGGATGGTAAGGGTCCCTGGGGGTGGGGGGACAGGCTTCCTGTGGAAGTGCAGGTGCACAGTCAGGAGGGCTGCCTCCCCTCCCCTCCGGCCGCGTCTCTACGGGACTTAGGACCGCAGGGGGCAGTTCTAGTCTCCTTCCTCTTTCCCCTGACCACCTTGCCCCCTCCCCTGTATGCCTCATCTGTACACTTCCAACCTCATTCAATGCCCCACCCCACCCCTGCCCCAGTGTGGTGGGGCTTTAGAAGCTGCTAGAAGACACTCAGGCATGGTAGGGGGCTCATGCCTGTAATCCCAGCTCCTCCGGAGGCTGAGATCCAGGCAGACAAATCCAGGAGATTCCTATCTCGAATGAACTGGGGGGGGAGGGGGAGAGGGAGGAAGCAAAGCTGTGGCTCAAATGGTAGAACGCCAGCCTTGAGCAACAGAGCTTGGGGACAGCGAGAGGCCTGGAGTTCACACCCCAGGACATGCACACACGCGTGCACACGCATGCACACACACACGCACACGCACATGTGCACAGAAGCGAAGGCGTGCAGGGAGGGAGACTCACTCAGGACTCGAAGGCGGACGGCCGCATGGAACACCTGGGCCCCGTGCACGTCGTACAGGAGGACTTTGTAGACGGCGCTGTGGTTGGCGAAGAGCTGCCGGATCCTCAGGCCGCCGTGGCGCAGGACCTCGTAGGCCTGCCGCCACCCGACCACCTGCTCCCCCTTGCGCTGTGCCACCAGGGTGCCCTCCTTCTCCCACAGGACCTCTGCCACGTCATCGCGCCACGCGAAGCCCTGGAGGTCCAAGACCACGTCCTGCCCCTCGGCGGCGCTGACCACTGGCACCTCGTGCGAGGCGGAGCCTGGAGGACATGGGTGGGGCCATTACCTGGGTGGCCGTGCGCCCTCCGGGCTGCCCAGGCTGAGATGGCCCCAGGGAAACTTTCTAGCACACCAACTCACCCAGTGCTGAGATGTGCAAAGCCAACAGGAGGCTGGCCAGCAGCCCACGTGGGGCGCCCATCTTGGGGCCTCGTCCCCTTGTGGGTGGTCTCCCAGCGTCCCTTGCACACCCAGAGTGGCCCTAGGGCCCACGGCACTCACGCTGCCTTTGGCCGGGATCCACGCGTGTGTGTACACACTCGGCAGACCCACGCCTCCCTGGCCTAGCAGGTGTGCATCCCAGCCGCGCTGGCTTCCCACACTACAGCCCTCAAGAAAAGGGCCAGGGGAGCGTGGTTTCCTCACCCCAAAAAGAAAAAGAAACGAGGGGGGGAGGGGGGCTGACGTCAACCCCAGCAGCCCTTCTCAGAACCTCAACACAAGGGGGAGAGCTGAGCCACCGCTGAGCCCGGCTGGATTCACGTTCAACTCTTCAGCGCGTCTTTCACCACCCAGCTCCCGTGTCTCTAACTGGGCCGAGGAGGACGTGGGGACCTGGTCCCAGGTGAAAAGCAAAGAGCGATTATCCTGCAGGGTCCCGGTGCTCACCCCTGCAATCCCACCCACTCAGGAGCCTCAGATCTGAGGAGCTCAGTAATTTAAGACAAATTCGTGAGACTCTTACCTCCAATGAATCACCCCCAAAGCTGGAAGTAGGGCTGTGGCTCAAGTGGTAGAGCCCTAGTCCTGAGTGAAAAGATTAAGAAGCCAGACGTCAGTGGCTCACGCCTGTAATCCTAGCTACTCAGGAGGCTGAGATCTGAGGATCACTGTTCAAAGCCAGCCTGGGCAGGAAACTCCGTGAGACTCTTATCTCCAATAAACCACTCAGAAAACTGGAAGTGGCTCTGTGGCTCAAGTAGTAGAGCACTAGCCTTGAGCTGAAGAGCTGAGGGACAACACCCAGGCCCAGAGTTCAAACCCCATGACCAACAACAACAACAACAACAACAAAAAACGATTAAGGTCCTGAGTTCAAGCCCCAGTACTAACATGGAAAATAAGCAATTAATTCAATATCTACCTTGCTACGTTGGGATATGTGTACAACACGGAACAACTAGGAAGTGGACTGGCTTATTTCCATAGTTCATGTCCAGTGAACCTCCGGATTGTGGGGTTTTAGAGAATCTGGGTCTAGAGGGTACTTGTGCCTCCCTGAGCCCAGCCCCTTGGACCGTGCTTCACACCCCAGGGCCCCCTTGCCTTCTGCACCTCAACTGCCCCACTGGCTGGGTACACCACCCCATCCCCATGGCCACCCACACACACGCAGCTGCCACGCGAGGAGGAGCACTGAGTTGCAGCCACGGACGCAGCAGTGTTTACAGAAACCTGACATTTACCAACGGAGTCCCTGACCAGCAGACACGCCACAGCCAGGAAACCCGAGCTTTCTCAGGTGTGTATTATTTTTCTCTGCTTAGAAAGAATAATTTCTTTAAATTTTATTTTGCAAGCCCCTCAGAGTCTCGTCCCAGGATCGCTCCGCTGTAAAGCCAGCAGTCTGGGGGTTGGTGAGGTAGGAAGCGGGGACCCAGGGGGCAGAAGGAGACAGTGCTCTGCTGCCGGAGCAGAAACGTGGGCTCAATTTGGGCAACCCACCCACCTGCCTTCCCATCCACCCACCTACCCACTCCCTGCCTGCTGCTGCCACCCTCTGGCCACCACATGAATGGCACCCTTGTTAATTTCAGCATCAGGAGATGGAATATCCAATATTTACTTATTTGCATTTGCAAAGTATTTGTCTGTTTATAATCCCTTCCCCTGCAAAAATGGTATTTCTGGGCATGGTGGTTCACACCTGGAATCCCAGCACACAGTGGGCAGAGGTGAGTGGACTGGAAATTTGAGGCCAGCCTGGGCTATACCTGAGACAGTATCTCAAAATATACACCTGCCCAAGCCCGGTGCCAGAGACTCACGCCTGTCATCCTAGCTACTCAGGAGGCTGAGATCTGAGGATCACAGAAAGGTGCAAAGGGATGAAAGTGGAGCTGTGGCTCAAGGGGTAGAGCACCAGCCTGGTATGAAAAAGTTACATAAGGGCACGAGGCCCTGAGTTCAAGTCCCAGTATCAGCACCAAAGAAGGAAGGAAGGAAGGAAGGAAGGAAGGAAGGAAGGAAGGAGGGAGGGAGGGAGGGAGGGAAGGAGGGCAGAATATAAGTGTAAGAGGAGGGAGGAGGGCAGGGGAGGTCATAATTCCAGGGAGGAGGATCAGAAGAGGGGAGGAGTCAGTGTGCAGGGACACAGGCTCCAGTCTGCAGAGGAAAGGGGGTGTGACAGGGAGCCGTGGCAGAGTGAACACACACATCTTCCTAAAGGCAGCTTATGGTAAGCCATCCATTCTGAGTCTTTCAGTTGCGACAGAAGGGAGGGAGGGAGGCCAGCATTGCTGAGGAGTAGGCAAGAGAGTGGATGAGCGGGAGGGAGGAGAAGGGGATGTGGAGTGTATCTGGGGCCCCCAATGGAGGCAGAGAGGCAGGCAGGTGGTGGGAGAGGTCCTGGGGGCCTTGTTTCGGGGCAGGAGTGACTCGGTGGGGCTTGCAGCCATGCACTTCCCTCCCAGCTATTTGAAGCGAGGGGACTGAGGCCCTTATGGAGAGGTCTGGGCCCACAGAGCTGCTGGGATGTGGAGAGGGGCCAAGGGAAGCCCCTGGGGTGCACACAGGCTGGTGTGGCTCTGCTCACCTTGGCTGCACAACGAAGTGGGGGGGGCAGAGGGGAGGGTGAGGAGGGGGACAAGCCGCCCCAGGCCTCCCTAAGGGCTGGGGCTGCCCCACCTGGGGTAGGCTGCGGAAGGAACATCCAGAGGCAAGGCCCTCCAGGGCCAGGGCTCTGAGAGACAAGGTAGTGGCCTCTCCTCTCGTGGCATGGCCTCAGGAGCTTCCTCTCCACAGAAGACAATCAGCAAAGCAGGTGGGGGTGTGCTGGGCTCTCCTCCACAGCGTCTTCACAGGAGGGAGTTCTCCCCTCCCACCCCACATGGGGTGCAAGGACGGAAGATGCCCCGGGGTGCTCATTGGCCAGCAGGGGGCAGTAGGTCTGACCCAGGTCCTGCCTGGCTCCAGGGGGAGAAGGCCGAGGGTGCTCAGGATTTGCTGATAGGAAGTAACAGAGCTTGGCGCCTAGTCACACGCTTCCTCAAACAAGCTCATACCCTCACACGGACTCAGTCCGCAGCCACACACGCAGCCACACACGTGTCCCTTCCCCCCACACACACTCTGGCAAAAGAGCCAGGACGTGCGGTTGCTCATTCAACCAGGTGTGTAAGGAATTGAGTCCAAATTTTAAAAGTAGCCAAGAGAGCCAGGCACTGTGGCTCACGCCTGTCATCCCAGCTACTCAGGAGGCTGAGATCTGAGGATCACGGTTCAAAGCCAGCCCAGGCAGGAAAGTCCATGAGACTCTTATCTCTAATGAGCTACCAAAAAGCTGGAAATAGGAGTTTGGTTCAAATGGTAAAGTGCCAGCTTGAGCACAAAAACAAACACTAGGCAAAAGTGCCAGGCCCTGAGTCCACACACACACACAGCACACACAGCACACACACGCACACACACACACACACACACACACACACACACAGAGGAAACTCGGGGTGGCTTTGCCAGCCCTTTGATGGAACGAGCTAAACATGAGCTCATCGCTTGCCTCGTTCCAGCCAGGTACTTTCAATTGGGTGTCTGCCATTTGCTGACAAAATGTCCTCATTCAGCGTTCAATTAATACTTGCTTCCAAGAGGAGCAGAAGAACACCTTGTCTGTGGCCAGTGTAAGGGCTGCCCTGCTGCCCCGGGGGAGCCCATGCCGCTGCCCACAGGGGACAGAGTGGGGGGAAGGCCGCACCAGGCCCAGCTGCCCCCATCCCCCCCCCCCGCCCCAGCAGGCAGCATGCATCAGGGTTCAGCAGGTGCAGGCCTAGGGCTCATTCCTGCAGGCCATCCTTGGCACTTCTTGAGTCACGTTTCTGTCCCCATCTCTGAGCTGCAGCTGCGTCAAGAGCAGGCCTCCCGCCCCTGGCCTCTGCTTCCCTAACATTTCCAGCTCCTTCCCTTCTCTGCGGGCCAGGAACATCCTGGGTTTTTCCCCCATGGGGCTGTGGACTCCTGGGACAAAGGAAGGGAGCATGCATCTGTTCTGGACATGGCCTGCTCTGAGAGATAAGCTTGACCTCTCAGGCAGGCCTACCCCATAGCCCACGGGCCACTGACACGCCGGGGCCTGCCCGCTGTCGGAAGGGGTCTTGCAAGCTCCCCCCTCTCTCCCACAGTGGATTTTCCTTTCCCAGTTCCACACCCCCCCCCCCCCCCCGCCTTGTTCTAGGGCTTGAACTCAGGGCCTCACACTCTCATTTGGCTGGTGCTCTACCACTTGAGTCACAGCCTCACTTCCCACTTTTTGCTGCTTCATTGGAGAGCAGAGTGTCTCGGTCTTTCCTGCCCAGGCTGGCTTCGAGCCACGATCCTCAGCTCTCAGCCTCCTGAGTAGCTGGGATGACAGGTGTGAGTCCCCACACCTGACTTGTTGCTTCCTTTTGAACTCCCTCCCCCGGCTGCCAGCAGCAACGGTCCACACCAACCCCCAAGACATGCCCACGCACAAGACAGAAAAACAGCAGGCGATCCCGATGATTGGGAAGGTGTGCGGAGAGCCACAGAGCTGCCAGAAGTGGCTGAGAGTTGACTCATGCAGACTGCTCAGCGTGGCCTGGGCACAGACACTGCCGTGGGAGGAGGGAGGGTTTCTCCTATGCTGACATGCCCACAGGCCCCTCCGGGCGGGCGGGGAGACGGGGTCTCTTCCATGAGGCCTCATGGCCTCGTCCTAATTCTAGGCTCAGGTCGGCCTGGGCACAGGGGGACAGTGTCACTAGTTTGTCATTTGTTTGCTTTGAAAACCAGGCACAGATTTGAACTAATAGTTCCTTTCTCATTTGCTTGCTTGTGTGGTTTTTTTGTTGGTTGGTGGGTTGGTGCCAGTACGAGGGCTTGAACTCAGGGCCTGCATGCTGTCTCAGCGTTTTTGCTCAAGGCTGGTACTCTACCTCTTGAGTCACAGCTCCACTTCCCAAGTTTCTCAGGGCAGTTGAGCTAAGGGAGTGTTCTGCCAATAGCCACATGGGTGTACCGTGTTCCCACGGCAGTGTGCTGCTATTAAGAGCAATTAAAGCCGAGCACTGGTGGCTCACACACACCTGTCATCCCAGCTACTCAGGAGGCTGAGATCTGAGGGTCACGGTTCAAAGCCAGCCTGGGCAGGAAAGTCC